TTATATATGGCAGCTCTAAAGCATTTATTTCTTGGTATATAATATTATATTATGTTTAAATGCATAGGGCTAGTTTCCTCATTACTGCCACTTTCGTATTTAGCCGTAAGGAATTTACTGTTTACTTCTTTTCCTTTGTTTAGGTGGATATACACGGTTGCAGGGGGGTCGCTGGAATGACAGCAGAGCCCTCAGCTGTGTAGAACGTTTTGATACCTTTAGTCAGTACTGGACCACTGTGTCTTCACTTCATCAGGCTCGATGTGGACTGGGCGTAGCAGTTCTGGGAGGGATGGTCTATGCTATTGGAGGTAATGATAAAAATGTATTATTTTCCTTATTAAACTTAGTTTCTTAATTCCCTCATTTCTTAGTTTCTTGTTGTTTGAGACAGGATCTTGCATTGTAGTTGAGGCTGGTCTTGAACTCACTATGTGGTCCATACTGGCCTCAATCTTGTAGTCCTCCTGCCTTAGCCTCTCAAGTGCTAGAATTACAGACTCGTATCACCATGTCTGGCTAATTGTCTACATTTTTTTGTGCTGCCTCCTCTCCCTTCCCTCTACTTGGCTACATTCTTATATTGCCTATATATATATTGCTAGGTATTATGTGGTGTTCATAAAGATAGTCATGTTCAGTAAATAAATATTGAATGGGTTAAAGAAAGAAAAATGAACACAGGTTGTTGAATATTACACACCAGAGAGATCCTGCTATCCCAGCATAAAAAACATGACAGAGCTTTGAATAACCGGAAGGAAAGCTATTCTAGTTGTTAACTTGCCTTATTTTAGGATTCATCATATTTTTGTCAGTGTTAATAATCAAATAATTGCTGGACGTGGTGGTGCATGCCTATAATCCCAGCATTCAGGAGGTTGAAGTAGGAGGATCACTGTGAGTTCAAGGCCAACCTGGGTTCATTTAATTGTAATCAATTTTAAGTTTCAGCAAACAGGGTAAATATAAATTTAAATCATTTAAGAAATAAATTTAAACCATTCAGCATTTATTGCTGAATAATATATGTATATATATATATATATTTCTATTCCAAGAAATACAAGTGAGTGCAGTTGAAATAAATTCTTTTTTTTTTTTTTTTTTTTGGTGCCAGGAATCGAACTCATGATCTCACACTTGCCAGGCAGGCGCTTATGCCTCTAAGCTATATTCCCAGCCCTTAAAGATACATTCTTTAAAGTTTATAAGTTGCCAATGGTTTCACAAAAAATTCTCTTGTATTCATTTATCAATTTCATCAAATAAAAGTGATTAAGACAAAAACCACTGTCATCCCCCTCCCCACCGTGGTACTAACTCTTCAACTATCAAGTAATCATATACACGGTCCTGTTCCTAGAATTTCTTTTTTGTACCATTAGTTTCTGTCTGTCTCTATCTAAATTACTGTAGCTCAGCTGTAAGTTTTAATATATAATAAGGCTGTTTCTCTCAATTTATTATACTTTTCTGCTAGTGTTTGGGTATTCTTGGTTCTTTGTAGTTCTATATAAATTTTAGATTCAGTTCATTTTTTTTTTAACTTTTTTTTTGTATTTTTGACACAGGGTCTCGCTATGCAGTTCAGGCTGGACTTGAGCTCACTCTGTAGCCCAGACTGGTCTTGAACTTGCAACGATCCTCCTGCATCAGCCTCCTGAGTGCTGGGATTACAGGCATGTGCCACCCTGCCCAGCTAGATTCAGTTCATTAAATTCTTTTTTTTTTTTTAATGATAGCAAATTTTATTAAAAGTATGAAAAGAAATAGGCTTTGCAGAGCAAGTAAAAGTAGGAAAAAAATACACTGTACAGTATGAGGGTAGACCACTATGCAAGAGAGAACACAGTGGTCTAAACCCTTTAAAAATTGGATTTTCAGGGGGAGAATTGGGATTATATTAAATGTATAAATCAGCTTAGGAATAATTATTTTTACATTGACTCTTATAGTTCATGAATATGATACATCTCTTCATTTATTTAGATGTTCCTGCATTTAAAATTTTATCTAAATAAATGTATAAATTTTGTCCATTGAAGCCTTGAACAGTTTTTGATTAGATTTACTTTTTTTTTAAGATTTACTTATTCATGTGTATGTGTTTGCTTTGGGAATCAAACATAAGGTTTTTTTGTGCTGCCTCCTCTCCCTTCCCTCTACTTGGCTACTTCTCAAACTTCTCCCCACAAAAAAGAATTACCCAGGCTGGCCTTGAATTTGTGATCCTCCTGCCTTAACCTCTTTAGTAGGTGGAATTTGCTACCATGCCTAGCTAGACTTACTTTTAAGTATAGTATACTGTATTTTTTTTAAAAAAAAATTTTTTTTTGAGACAGGGTCTCACTACGTAGTTCAGACTGGCCTTGAACTCACTGTGTAGCCCAGACTGATCTTGAACAGAGGCTAAGCATATGCTGTATCACTGATGAGCTACACTTCCAAGCCCTAGACTTTCTTTTCTTTTTCTAGTACTGGGCATTGAATCCAGGGATTATTGAGTTATACCCCAGCCCTTTTAAAAATGTTTTTTATTTTAAGACACAGTGTCACTAAACTGCCCAGGCTGATCTGAGCTTGGTGGTGCTCTCCTGTGGCCCCAGCTTTCAGAGGTTGGGGCAGAAGGATCACTATGAATCTGAGGACAGTCTCGGCTACATAGTGAGTTCAAGGCCAGCCTGACCTACATAGCTTGCACCTGTCTCAAACTTCACCCCACAAAAAAGAATTACCCAGGCTGGCCTTGAATTTGTGATCCTCCTGCCTTAACCTCTTCAGTAGGTGGAATTTGCTACCATGCCTAGCTAGACTTACTTTTAAGTATAGTATACTGTATTTAAAAAAAAAAAATTTTTTTTTTGAGACAGGGTCTTACTACGTAGTTCAGGCTGGCCTTGAACTCACTGTGTAGCCCAGACTGATCTTGAACTTGCCACAATCCTCCTGCCTCAGCCTCCCAAGGGCTGGGACTACGGGCATGCACCTCCAGGCCTAGCCTAAAAATATATATTTTTTTTAAATCTCATTTTGTGTTTGTTGCTACATAAGGAGTTTAATTTCTCAAATTGTACCCTAGTCAGCTTCTAAACTAATACAGAAGTAAAAAAAATACAAGTGTTAAAATGCAAATTATGTTTTTAAAAATTACATAGATTGGGTGGTAAATAAATAGATAATAGGAAAATTGTGCCTTTGCCTTATATGAGACTGACGCACTACCTACTGTGCTAACAGGGCACCTAGCCTTTGCCTTATAAATTGGCTTTACTACATGAAAATGCTGTGGATTCAAAGTAATGTTCACAGGGCAGGGATGTAGCTCAGCAGTGGCACAAGTACCTGCCTGGCAAGCACAAGGTCCTGAGTTGGATTCCCAGTTCCAAAAAACAAAACAAAACAAAACAAAACAAAACAAAACAAAAAACCAAAGTAATGTTCACTAGGCAAATAAATTTTAATGAATTTTTAAAAATCAGACATACTGATTGAATTTCTGAAAATAAGGAATGTTCTGAATATTGTATTATGGTTCTGATCTATTAGAATTACTAAACCTTCTGATGTGTGTCTCTTTTGTTTAAACCAGGTGAAAAGGATTCAATGATTTTTGACTGTACTGAATGCTATGATCCAGTTACTAAACAGTGGACAACTGTAGCTTCAATGAATCATCCCCGCTGTGGCTTGGGAGTGTGTGTGTGTTATGGGGCTATCTATGCTTTGGGTAATTATGCTGTTCAGTTTAAAGATAACAGATTATTTGAATTCTTAAGTTCTGGTTGGAGATGTTTCTTCTTTCCCATAAGTATTTTTTCAACTCTGTACATTCTCATTCTCAGTATTGTATTACTTGGAGAATATTGTTAAGTGTGGAGTTTTATTGTTGTTTTTACAGGCTTTCTACTATCATTCTCTTTGACTTTTTTTTCCCCTTAAGTACGAAGTTTTCAAAGAAGATAGAGATAATTTACAGATGATATGTTCAGTAAATCACTTTAGCTGACTAGTTAAATTTCCTGATTTTAACTAAGCATATAGCACTTCTACGTCTGTATTTTAGCCTAATTATGTTTAGTATAAGAAAGCACGTAACAAAAAAAAGTTAAAGACACTAAAAGAAAGTTCTGTGATGCATTATTTTCATTATTACAGATTTAGTTGCCAAGCAGGCACTGTGCTGCTGAGCTATATCCCCAGCCCACTCTCCCCTGTTTTCTTCATGTCATTACTTTTTCAATTTACTGTATGGAACTTAGCATCTTGCCACTTCTCTGTCCATCAATACCTATACTGGAAAAGATATCAGTTACCTCAGTGTGAATCTAATTCATTATTCTTTTTATTACTCTTACAAATATTTGTATTTTCTTTTTTTTTTTGAGACAGGTCTCACTATGCAGTTCAGGCTAGCCTTGGGCTCACTTTGTAGCCCAGGCTGGCCTCGAACTCACAACGATCCTCCTGCCTCAGCCTCCCAAGTACTGGGATTACAGGTGTGCGCCACCACACCCTGTTGTGTTTTTCTTTTGTTCTGTTCTGTTCTGTTTTGTCCTGAGACAGGGTCTTGCTATGTAGTGCAGGCTGCCCTTGAACTCACTATGTAGCCAGGGCTGGCCTCAAACTCACAGTGATCCTCCTGCCACTGCCTCCCAAATGCTGGGATTACAGCACTCAGCCCCAGCACGCCAGGCTTATATTTCTCAATTATACTTCAAAATATGGAAGGGAGCATTTTCAATGTCAATAATTGGAGAATGGTAAAGAAATGCTATCTTGAGTATCAAGGACCTTTTTGAAGTTCATAAAGTCACTCTAAATAGGTAAATATCCCAATTAGGCTTAGAATTGGCCTTAATTGATGTAACCATTCTGAACACACAGAAGTCACTTCAAAGGCTGGTTTCACAAAATACCATAATTATCAAGTAATATATTGAATTGTTTGTTTTGTTTTATTCTCTAGCAGAACTAGACAGGGAGTCAAAACTCTTTTGAGTTTTACTCATGGTCGTATTCTAACTTTTTGTGTCATCATGGACAAATTACCTCTGGTTCATATGCTATTACTCCATATTGTGAAGTAGTTGAATTAGTTGTTTTCTAAGGTCTTTGTCATAAGATTTCTTTATCTGAGAAATAAACATTTTTCTATTTAATCATAGGTGGATGGATTGGAGCTGAGATAGGAAACACAATTGAACGATTTGATCCTGATGAAAATAAATGGGAAGTAGTTGGCAACATGGCTGTGTCGCGCTACTACTTTGGGTGCTGTGAAATGCAAGGTAATTACTTTATAAAATATTTCCTTCCG